TTCGAAAATTTTAAAATAGTTCAATTCATTTTATATTTGATAATCAAATACGTATTTAACAACAACAAAATTAGAAACAAATAAAAATTGTGTGTATGAAATCAATCGAAAATGAAACTTCAATAAATAAAATAATTGAAAACGAGGTTTTGGTAATTGAAATCGTTTTTCAGTTTAAATAAATATTAAATAAAAAAACTGAAAACTGAACTAGAACTAAAAATATAAAAATATAAATAAATAAAAAATTAAAAATAAATATAAAAATATTCACTAATTTATTATTCATTTATCACATATTTTTCTTTTGTTTTGAAATAATCTTATTTAATATAAATAAACATACTGCATCAATATAGATTCTTTGTATTACTATAAGTAACAACAAATAGTCAAAAATATTTGTAGTACAACAAATATTTGAGAGCAAGAAACAAATACAATACAGTATTCAACTCAAAACCATAAGCAACTGGTATTGTTTTTGTGGATAAAGTGGATGAGCACAAGCAAAAGCATACAATATCAGTTACACTCATTCTCTCATTTATACTTATAGTATTAGGTACTCACCATGGTGTATTTGTTTTACAAATACTTTGTGGTGTACTACTGCACGTCTTTAATACATACATTTACTAGAGATCATACCAAGTTAGTTTGCAAGAACTCAATGTAAAGTATTTTAAATCATATTTGCCAAATTAAACAGATAATAAACAAATGCATTCGTAATTCAGCTCTGGCTGGAGAAAGATCGTGGTGCGTCGTTGCCATTATCTCTTAAGGGGAATCAGACCGTCCTTTTTGCTCTGCCTTCGAGAGTTTTACGTTTCAAACCGCATTGGTCGAATGTGTGACGTCGAATAACTGTACCGAGTTACGGTTTTTTGAACTGAATGTTGACCATATGCATTCGTGTTAACTTAACCTAAGTTTTAATTTTGATTATGGTGGAGAACCAAAAAAACTCAATTTGATATTTTGTCCTGTCGTACTGGAATAACTGGTGTTGGCGTTATAATCTTTCGATTCGGCCAAGAAGTCTTAGCTGCAGATGCAGCTAAGCAAACTTAAGTACAAGCAAACAAACAAAACTAAAATCTATCGAAATTGAAAAAAATTTCTCGATAGTGAAAATAATTATATACTATAAAATCGTAAAAATACCATCAAACAAGTATATTATATAAATGGAAAATAGCTTTGACGATTTAATGACGATTTCGAAAATTCTGTTGACGATTTTTTCCTCGAAATTTGACGATTTTACACCCAAATCATCAGGCAACTATGCCTCAGGGGCCTACCGGTTGACACCTCGGGTATGTACAATTTTTAAGACGATTATATTTCTCCGTTTGTGGTCCGATTAAAAAAATATATATGAAATCTGCTCTATGAGTAGCTATAAATTATAGTTTAGGAGATATTCGCATTTGAAAATTAAATTTTAAATTTTTTTACCATACCTTTGTTCAGTTTTTTGCAAACTGTGGGTCAAAATATTTCCCGATTTTCCCCAATTTGTTGTTCAATTAACAACAAATGTGTTTATTAAATAAAAAAAGTAATTATATAAAAATCGAGACTGAGTAAAAAGTTATATCAAGGGACTATATTCAATAGTCTCTATATAAAATAATACCAAGTTTTCAGGAGAGCAAAAAAAGATGTTAATTCGCTAGTTCGTGAAATTTTTTTAAATTTACCTTTGTCCAGTTTTTTGCTAACTGTGGGTCCAAATATTTTCCGATTTTCCCCAATTTGTTGCTCAATTAACAACAAATGTGTTTATTAAATAAAAAAATAATTATATAAAAATCGGGACTGAGTAAAAAGTTATATCAAGGGCAGCGTTGCCACTCACAATTTATTTTTCTTCTTAGGGAAAAAGGAATTAGTGTGGCCTCCAGTAGGTTAGTGGTTTTTGTTATAGTCTGTTAGACCTGAGGTCGTGCGTTCGATTCATATTGAGAACCTTCGGATTTGATGTAACAAAATATGTTTCAAACTAACTAACTTACTAACATTCATGAATTTAATATTTTCTTAGAACCATAGTGAAACAATATAAACTTAAGATTGACGTATTTTTTTAATTCTTATTACTTTGCCATAACGAGTTCAGAAATTTTTATAAATGCATATGCATGAGTTCAAAATGATCTCATCCCACCAAATTTGGACCAAAATTTAAATCTCTCAACCAAACTACCAAAGGTCATTTTTGAGATTTTAAACTACCAATTTTGGTCCAACCAAAGTGGTAACAACAAAGTTTTCAGGAGAGCAAAAAAGCTGTTTACTTCGTTAGTTCGTGAATTTTTTAAAAAATTTTCTTCTACAATATATTTTACGACCTTAAATTATATAAAAAGCATTTAAAATTTACAAATTTATATCAGATAGAGATTTTTTTAGCAAAATTTCATACAACCAACAAATAGGGAATTTTTCATAGAAATATCATAGAAATATAAAATTTTTAATTGATTTAATATCAATCAATATTATATTTTATGCAATTTAATGCAGTAAAAGAAACCAAATTGTTGAAAAAGCACCATATTATGTTTCGGTACAAAATCAATGTTATATGGTTAAACACGACAGTAAAATTAAACTAATTAGTGTCATAATGAGTGATATCTCGAAAACTACTAGGCCGATTTAAAATATTTTTAATTATTTATGTTCAGCATGTCCAAATTAGTAAGAAAACTTGTTTTGCAACAGAAAATTATCAAAAGGGATAGAGTTTAAAGCAATTTTTGGTATAGATAGAGTTTTGCATTCAGAATTTTTTCTTTTTTTAAGATAGAAAAAATTTCAAAATTCCTATTTTTTATATAAAATTCAACTTTAGGCCAAAAAATCTCAAACTGCAAAGTCGATATCAAAATATTGTAACCCATTTTAGGTGGCGCAAGTTGTTCTTAATTATTCTATACAGGGTTTCGATAACCCCGACCCATTCTGAGATTTTTCAAAACTTTTTTTGGGAATTGAGGGATTCGTGACAACAAATTTTACAATTTCTTTTTAGTTTTACATTCTCAATGTGAAAGTCTATATACTGTAAATTTTATTTAAATTTTAAAATTTTTGTTTCATTTCAACAATTTTTGTCTTCGTAAAAATTCAACAAAAAACTTTTTTCCACATTTTTAAAAAAGTTTTCTATGAATTTCTGAATTGTTATAAAGGTAGATGTGTTATATATCAATGGATTAGAAATTAAGTCTATTTTTCAGAAATTTATAAATTTTTATCAATTCAGAAATTGATAGACGACTTATTAAAAAATGTGGCAAAAAGTTTTGTTGAATTTTTACGAAGACAAATTTAAATAAAATATCTCTTTGTGAATATTTACTGAACCACATAGAATTCGGTAGAGAGATTTTGACTCGCATGAAACTTATGTGTGCCCAATTTCATCGCTATATTTGTATTTTTAAGCCAGTAATGAGCGTTAAAGTAATTTTTTTAGGGGACCTTATATGGGGGGTAGGGTCAATTATGGACCGATCCACATAAAATTTGATAGACAGATTTTGACTCGCATGGAACTTATGTGTGTCGAATTTCATCGCTATATTCGTATTTTTAAGCCAGTAATGAGCGTTAAAGTAATTTTTTGTAGGGGACCTTATATGGGGAGTAGGGTCAATTATGGACCGATCCACATAAAATTTGATAGACAGATTTTGACTCGCATGGAACTTATGTGTGTCGAATTTCACGCTATACTCGTAGTTTAAAGCCAGTTATGAGCGTTAAAGTCATTTTTTGAAGGGGACCTTATATGGGGGGTAGGGTCAATTATGAACCAATCCACATAAAATGTAGTAGAAAGGTTTTGGCTCGTCAGGGATTTAATTATGTCAAGTTTCATTGCTATACTCGTATTTATAAGACAGTAATGAGCGTTAGTAATTTTTTGAATGGGGGCTTATATGGGGGGTAGGGTCAATTATGGACCGATCCGTATAAAATTTAGTTGAGAGATTTTAACTTGCATGAAACTTAATTGTGTCGAATTTCATCGCTATATTCTTATTATTAAGCCTGTAATGAGCGTTACAATGATTTTCCGAAGGGGACCTTATATGGGGGTAGGGTCAATTATGGACCTATCCTCTTATAATTTGGTAGGAAGATATAGGATCATATGAAACTTATTTATGTCGAATTTCATCGCTATAATCGTACTTTTAAAACAGATATGACCGTTAAAGTTGATTTTCGGGGGTCCACTTGTATGGGGCTATCAAAAACGTGGACCGATATTTCCTATTTTCAAAACCAAACAAACCTTATCTATAGAGAACATTTTTGGAAAATTTCAACCCTAGCTCATTCCGTTCGGACTCTATCGTGCTTTCAACAGACAGACGGACGGACATGGCTAGATCACCTTAGAATTTAATAAGGACCCAGAATATATATACTTTTATGGGTCTATGACCAATATTTTGATGTGTTACAAACGGAATGACAAAATCAATATACCCCCATCTTTTTTGATGGTGGGTATAAAAAGAAATTGTAAAATTTGTTATCACGAATCCCTCAATTCCCAAAAAAGGTTGGAAAAATCCCAAAATGAAATTTCAAATATAGTAATTTTATTGAAATTACACAAACGGAGAAATAGGATCGGTTTAATAATTGTACATAACCAAGGTATCTTACTTTGTGGACCTCTGGCCGCTCACCCATGAGGTCCAAGTTCAGAACTTAAATTCGTCAACACCTCCTCTCTACACATGTAAAATTTCATTCAAAGCGGTCTAACCGTTTAGAAGTTACAGAATTATTTCCCTCTATTTATTTCATACCACTGTGCGGCCTATATTTTGTTAAAGCCCGAATTTTAAGTTATGACAGTCTTCTAGTAAATGAGCGATATGTATTTCTGCTGTTTAAATTATTCTCATTATGAAAATTCTTGTTATACATACTATTAAATAAAATTAAGTAAATACACTTTCTAAATTTTCGAAATTTTATATTTATTTTTATAAACAAATTATATAACCCCCATTTTCACAACCTTCAGTTATGGTTTAACTGGTAGTTATTCTTCCAGTTAATTTTTGTATGAGAATTGTTAATATATCTTAAAGTTAAAAAATAACTACACATTGTGAAAATGGGGGTAAGTATTTTAAAATGCTCAAAAAATTATAAATTTGCTATTCCACGTCAATAGGTAATTCATCATTTGCAACAAAGTTAATTATATATTGTGATGTACTTTCGCTTATCCAAATAATATTTAAAAAATAAATCTCTATGAAACCAAGAACACATCCAGCAAGAACGTCTAATATATAATGACGCTGCATCAATATACGCGATAGACACACGCTTAAGCACCAACATGTTAACGGCATCCACCAAATTTTTGAAATGGGACATAGGCAAATAAAAAACATTGCAACGAAAGATGCTCTTGATGCGTGTCCAGATGGAAAGCTAAATTTGTCAGGACCCAGTACTAGCATATCTTCTGGTACAGTTGGCCTTCTTCGCCTACATATAGATTTTATTATAGCTATAAGAAATATATCCATTATAAGACCGAAGAGCATATTGATTTGCATTTCGCAAAGATCCTTTTTGTTAAATAAATATATAAACGTCAACCATACTGACAACCAAACTATGCCGTTACATGATATTTCCAAACTTTTGCAATGCGTTTTTAAAGTTTTAAATGATGGATATTGTAGAAACCTTGAAACGAGAAGTTTAGTCAAATGTTCATCTTTTGAAATTATTATCTCCAAAGCTTTATGTTTTTGTCGTTTTGCCTAAAAGAATAAATAAAAATTAAAATTGATTTATTTATTTTGTCTATGTACATAAATTCTTACAGATAATTAATTTAATTGTAAAACATAAGAGATTTTGTGTTAACAAAATTGTGATAAAACAAGAGTTCATTATTCGCCTTTGCCAAATCTTATATACGCTTCACCATAGAACGGATAAAATAAGTATTTTTATTTTTAAAATTTTATTTATTTATAGCAATAAATAACATGGTTCTTAAAACTTATTTTATAGAGAAATGGTTATAATACCTTACACCTATAATATTTTTAAAGTTATTTTAAGTTAAGGAGCATTCGTGAATTAGAAGCATGGTGAAGGAAAACTTGCTATTAAAAACCTTCAATAAGCGTATGTTGTTGTTTTTTTTTTAAGCATGCACTAACATTCTCCTTTCTTAATGAAATTTTCAGAGGGTGTTGTATGTATGTATGTATGTATGTATGTATGTATGTATGTATGTATGTATGTATGTATGTATGTATGTATGTATGTATGTATGTATGTATGTATGTATGTATGTATGTATGTATGTATGTATGTATGTATGTATGTATGTATGTATGTATGTATGTATGTATGTATGTATGTATGTATGTATGTATGTATGTATGTATGTATGTATGTATGTATGTATGTATGTATGTATGTATGTATGTATGTATGTATGTATGTATGTATGTATGTATGTATGTATGTTTTAGTAGATAGAGTTCAGACGTGTTTTTTCTCCGGAAAATAAAAAATATTTAAAACAAAATAACTTAAATTTTTTCACTTATAAAAGAAAATTTATAAATAATTTAATTGTCATTTTACAAAATAGACTCGAATACAAGCTTATGGGGAATTAATATCCCACCCGATAAGTTACCACCGGATAAACCTCAAGGGCTGCAAAACAAGAACTTTCCTATGGATGATAGTTCAAGATCTACATTAGGAGCAAATTCCAAAGACAAACAACAATTGAATTAAAATAAGATAATATAGATATTGATATTAAAACTAATAATGAAGCAATGCCTATAGGTAAAACAGATAATTGTAAATATAAATTATCGGGAGCAAAACCCAAAAAATAAGACTGTAACAATCAATGCTGAAGACTCTTCACAAATGAACAACTCTAGTCAAGAAAATGTGAAAGAAAAAGATCCACTTGAAAATTGAACCCAATGGACATTGATGATTCAACTTTATCATTCTCCGCAGTGGACAGGGAATACCAATGTGTTTCAAAACGTAAGCGTAGTAACAACGATAAATTAGATTTGACTAGTTTTAGCAGTAAACATTTTAAAACCCAAACTTCTTTGAACAACAACACACAAATTTCTCTTAGGTGAATTATATTAGATAAAAGATAATACTAGGAAAAATAACTATTTAATACCCCATTTACACATACACGAAATCTAATACTTATGAGATTTCGAGCCAAATCTACTTGATTTTAACTTGATTTCCCATACAAAACAAAATCTACTTCGTAACTAGATTTCGTTAAAATCTACTCAAAATCTAATAGTTTTTAGTGATGCAACTCTGTTTTTTCCTAAATAATACTAAAAAATACGACACTACACAAGAAAAAAGAGGAAAACAAAACAAACAAAAAAAATTAAAATGTCGACAAAATTTTTATAAATTGAAAAACATGAATGAAAAGTTAATCTAAAATAAAAGGTAATGTTATATTTAAATATCTATTTTTTTATTTTAAATGGAATTTTGATAAATATCCCATTTTTCCTTCTTATTTTTCATATCACACACTTTTTCAAGAAATATTAGAAAAAATGAAATCTTCTTAAATGTCAAGAATAGTAAGTGTAAACGGACTAGATTTGGAAAAAGATTTTAAATGAAATCTACTAGATTTCGTGTATGTGTAAATGGGGTATAAGAGAAAATAAAAATATTTCTAATAAGGAAAAATCATTTTGTCAACCCATATTTCTCTTTAATGTTAATATTGAAGATTTATTAAATCAACTCAACTCAAAGAAAATTGAATTTAAAATTGTCAACAAGAATAGACACAAAAGCAAATTATTTTTAAAAGATGCAGTCTATGCCGAAATGATGTAATTACTTAGAGATAAAAATATAGAATCGTATTCATACACTCCGATTGGATAAAAACGTTTAAGTATAGTCATAAGAGGTTTATATTATAAAACGGATACAAAAATTATTAAAGATGAATTTGATTTTCTGATTCCAAATATAGTAGATAATCCTGTCTGTTCTGTAAACCGAATTCGAGTAAATTTCTCGTTTAAAAACGAATTCTCATAATTTTTCTCGTTTTAAAACCGAGTACACAAATCTATGGTATACGCACAATTGGGACGATCTACGAATTTCGTTTAGCACTGCGAACTGCTTGACGAATCTTGGTTGCGTAAATTCGTCACATTTCTTCAATTAAAAATCAAACAAATTACACAAAATTCTTTTTCTTTATAAATTTTCAAATCTATTTTTGATTACATACTGAATGGGGCGACCATATTTCTAAATCAAATAATATTTAATTTTAAAAATTCATTAAATATATTTTTCTTTTGAATATTTAAAGAAAAAAATGTTAACAAAAAATGTGTTAATTTAATTTATTTACCATAAACATAAGAAAAAACAATTCTTTAAACAAAATGTAACATTATTTACAAAACAACAGTAAATCTAAAAGGAAATACGGTCACTCTAAATCAGTTTATTCGTCGTTCGTCTGCGTATGAAATAGAAATAAACCTATCGCACAGTTCGTTACGTACGACGAATTTCGTCATACGCACTGATTGTGCGTATTTTCATATAGTATATATATCTTACGACTAAAATTCATTCCGAAAAATTGGTCGTTCGTCCCAATTGTATGTATAGCACTAGTCGAAATTTTATTCTAATAAATTAAATAATTATTTTTTGCGCTTTTTAATACAATTGTAATATAAATGCTATGGGCATTTTAAACTCTTTTTCATTTAAATATGTTTATTTTTCTGAATTTTGCGTTCAAACAAAAATTCGATTTGCAGAACACCAAATTCGGTTTTAAAATCTTCTCGGTTTTGAAAACGAATCGATTTACAGAACAGACATGAATGTTTCAAAATTCTCTACAGCATTTTCCAGAAAAAACGGTTTTGATACTGGCTTATTTTTAGTTACATTATTATCAGGCAAATCTGGTAAAGAATTGGCTAGTATAAAATACATTTTAAATCAAAGAATTACATGGGAATCTCCTAAGAGGAACACGAAAGAAATACAGTGTTGGCGTTGCCAACAATGGGGTCACATGTCCAAAAATTGTAACAGACCATTTAAGTGTGTTAAATGTGAGCAAAATCATGCTCCGGGAGAATGTAGATTTTTATCAGATAAGGACAATTTACCGTATTGTAATTATTGTAAACAATATGTCTTATAAAAAATATATTGGTATAAAAAAGAATATTATTCTTAGTGCCAAAGAAAGAAACCTCAGTACCGCAATTCAGTAACCTTTTAACTACAAAATTTTTTCGTTAAATAGTATACAATAATTGTCGTTATGTGGTATTCTGAATTTTATTTCATTAGTTAACGAAAAGTATCGGCAATGAAACGACAAATAAAAAGTTTACGTTAATAATTTTATATTTTAAAAATATTTCAATACAAAACTTTTGACATTCTCATATTTTTCCGACGTTTGTTGTCAAAATATTCTAAGTTCGTTAAAAAGTTACAGAATTGAAAATTCGTTATTGCGTTACTCTACGATATCGGTAATTAAAATTAAAAAATTACAGAATTGCGGTACAGGGCTTCTAATAATGTAGCTTCTGCTTTAAAAAATAGTAACGCTGCCCAATCAGGTAAATCGCCTCTAAATCAAATTCTTCAACATAATACAATGTTTCTCCATTAATTAAAGAATTTTCAAAAATTGCTAAAATTCTCTGGGAACCTGAAACTTTATCTTTAAAAGATAAAATAAGTTATTTTATAGGAAATTATAAGAAACTTTCATCGGAGGAGGCCAATGCCGTGGTCTTCTAAATGAAGTGAGAAAAGTTTATGACCCATAATGTATTAAATTTACTCTCATTTAATGTTAGATCACTCATTTAGGTAAGTCGCATGGTAGATCTATTAAATACTAGTAATATAGATATTGCATTTGTGCAAGAAACAAATTTGAATCAAAGGCATAGGTAGGTAGGTAGGTCGATAGGAGGATGTATACTACATCAAATCCGAAGAAATACACCTAGGCCACTATCGGGCCTATTGTGCGCTCCAATTCATGAAAAAAAAGAACTGAAAGAATTATTTTTCAGTGTTCAGAAACTCAGTTTCCTGAACGTAATTCCAAAGAATCTTCCAATCAGTGTTAGTCAGGAATGTTATTTCCGGAATAACATCACTTCCAAGATACTTGGATCTAACTTCGACGAATGCCTGGCAGTGGCAAAGAAAGTGCTTCAGAGTTTCACTGTCCTCTCCACGTGCTCTACATTCGTCTGAATCCGCACGTCCAATTTTGCATAGATGTGCTCGTAGTCCTGTGTGTCCACTCAGAATACGTACCATTATACTAACTTCAGACTTGCTCATTTTGAGGAGATTTTTCGTCTTGCTCTCATCAGGGTCACTCCATAGGATCTTCGTGGTTCTACCCACCGTTTCATTATTCCAAGAGGCCTTATGGGATTCTCTCACTCATATTTTTAGTTCAGCTTTTGTTGCGTCGAATGGTTTTGCGTTTGTCAGGTTAACTACATCGAGCTCCCTTCCCTTTAAAACTATTACATTCGCCCTTTCGTTGCCGACTACTCCCGAGTGGCCTGGTACCCATATGATGTGAACCTTACCCCTGGGAGAGTATTCAGTTAAAGCTTTCTTACAATCCAGTTCGGTCTTAGATTTAGTTCTATCGCCTGATATCGCCCTAATTGCCTTCTGGCTGTCGCACAGT